AATTTGATCTTATGAAAATTATTTGTTAAATAATGAAGCGATAATATTAGTACTTTAAAAATGTTTTTCGTCCTTTGGGCATTAACAGGACCCTTTTACGTGGAGGACGGACGGCACGAACCTGTAAATTCATCAGGTTTTATCGGGTCCCGTTCCTCATCACCTCGTTGTCCCTGGCCGAATCAACGATGGGAATGATTAAAATGCCCTCTTATTACTCATAGGGCGAAAAAAGTAAAAAAATATTCCTCACGGACCGACCAAGAAACATTTTCTGATTCGGAATCGAACTTGGATCCCCACTCCCCAGAGCTGTAAGCCGAGGCCTTTATCTCCCTGATCATTGGGCCGTTAGTTTTCTTAAATTCTTCTGCCCTGTGGGTACTCAGAAGGCCATATTTATGCCCATCATTTGTCACTAGAATCTCAATGGGGTGGCTAGATAATTTGGGCCGAATAATATCTTTCGCTCTCTTAGCAAAAAGCCCTTCCAAAATTATTAAAGTTTTACTTATCGCTCGACAGATGACATTAATATAATTTTCTTCATTCCTACTCACCCTTTCAGTTTACATAACGAATATAAATTCGAAAAAAAGAAAAAGTAATTGTTCCGTAGTCGTAGGGTAAACAGGCCTGATTTACACATATGCTAAACAAGCTGCAGTTTGGAGCCTCGCGTTATGAATCTATAGCTTAAAGCCTTCATTTTACGTATATCATTAGTTAATACTTTAACCACTTTGCGATGATCGTGTCCTTTGCAACGAGCTGTTCAAAGTACAAGTTAGAGGTTGGAATATTCTCGTCTCTTTTGCGTGTTTTTATTGATGAACTGATTAAATATTTATTGTATCATACGTTTAAAAAAAACTACATTAAGTGATTCTTTGTTGAGTTAATGAGATGAGATAAAAATGTTTATCGTTTTGTAAGAAAAGACAGAGTAGGAGAAAAGAGAAGACGTGGATACTGTACTTCCTTCTTCGTTAGAGTTGAACATAATGTTTTTTTTTTTTTTTTTTTTCAAATTGAGACGATTTGCATCTCTGGAAAATTCCTGTAAATTGTTGCATAAACCGTATTAAATATATATTTTGGTACAAAGAAGCCAAAAATCCCAGGTACAAGGAAACCAAAGAGGCTCCTTGTATCCTTGTATCTGTTTACTCTTTCAAATTTCATTCTGTTTTGAGGGAATCTCGGTGGGGTTCAACTAGTGCACCTCGTTTTCACGGACCCGAAAAATTATGAATAGTAAACAAGTGTGTAACCCAAACAATTGTATGAATTACCCACTCGCGTTTTCTGTGATTTTGAGGTTCTAATCCTCAAAAGTAGAATATTTATGATAAATGTAGCACACGTAGGCCTACCTTCGATTGTAAGCCTGTCTTACCAAAAGTTGATCGTTTGGCATCTCTATTTATTGTATACTGGGCGTTATTATTTAACGTTTTAAAGAGGAAGCATATTTCTCTTCATTACTTCTTATGATTTGCGTAGTCGTTTATATTAAATAATTATTAAATATTCTCCTGTAGTTTCTGTATACAGTGTACAGATTTAAGCCTGGACTCCATAGGCCTATTACCTGAAATTGAAACATATAGAGTTTTCGTTTCAGTTATGTTTTAATGTTTTATCTGTTTATAATTTATATCATAAACAAATAAATGCCAGAGCAAAATCATAAGAGGTGATAAAGAGAAATATGCTTCCTGTTTAAAACAAATTTTTAAACTGTATTTAACATGGTAGAAACTCGTTCTGACCCTGCAATGGATTGCTATCTATTACTTGTTTATTTTTCGAATATATTATAGAAATGGCTTTAAAAACTAATTAATATTAAATTAATCATAATATAAATCGTAAAGGCAATCGAAAAGACACTGTACACCCACATTATACTTCGATTACCCCACATATCATAATTACATATTGATTAATCATCAAGAGCGTAGGGAAGAAATTTGCAGAAATTACGAAAAATTGGCGAATTCGTACAATTTCTAGAACGAAAAACTTATTTAAATTTCAATTTTTTAAGGACAATTTTGCAGACTAAATGTAATAATTTTATTGCAAGACGCGATGAAATATGAGAAGTGAAAGTTTAAGGATTCAACATGTCCGGCATTCTCTAATTTCGAATCTAGTCTACACCCCTGTAATTTATTATGTAGGAGTCCTTCGTAATGGTGGGAAAGAGTGATTTTCGTAGGCGATTTTTATTAAGTCTAAGCGAAGGAAAAAATGTTGCGTGACGTCGTAATTACAATTTCAAATCGATCGTAATGGTCTTCTTTGCGGATGGGCATCGTCGTTCTTCGTCTACGATGGAAATCGATCGTTAGAGGTGGCCGCGCTAATCGACTCCATTGCAGCAAAGTTAACAAATTATGGAAGTATAAGCAAACGTAATTTATATTAAAAAGATTATTTAGAAAATTAAAAGTATATTTTCCATATAGAAATGCAAGCTATATAATTTTAAACCGTTAAAAACGAATTTCAAATTGCGAATTTCGTCTCGGAACAAAGCGAACGATGACGCATCGTGGTGTTATTTCTTAATTTACTTTTGCAATTACCACCTTCGGCAAATACTTGAAGATTTGTTTAATCGAATGCAAAGTTTCCTTTAGATTTTCCTCCTAAATTAAGTGAACTATGGAATGTTTTCACGATATTAACTTCGGAAATCCGCATCAAAATTTACGCGCGGCGAAGAAATGGCGAAATATGTTTGGCCCTTTATTTATCGTCTCTTGGAACAGAGCGTTTTCTTATGTTCGCATTAAAAAACAATATAAAATATCATAGATAAAAACTTCTCTAATGTTGTATTAACAGATTGTCTATTGATATAATAATCATCGGATTAGTTTGCAGCGATGAATTGAAGATTATCTTTCTGGATCATCGTACTTATAAATTGTCCAATTAAGAACGTTGATTAAAAATAGATAAACGTAAATAAAGGATCGTTAATGCCTGTCCGAACACAAATTATTGGAAACTCTCGACTGATCGGGATAAATGTTTTTACGCTTCCAAGAATTCTTTACACACGTACTGTACCCTTGTCCTCCTACATACATCCTTTATCAATGTCACTTACTACTATTACTAAATATACAAGTAATGCTTTACATAATGCGCAATTTTAACCTCCTAATTCCGTGTTTACATTATATTCTGGTCATATATTAAGTATATTTGATGACTAAACGTAACCTTAACAATCAATTTACTCGACAGTATCCTGAGCGGAAGTCACGTGTCTCCAAGCAACGTATCCATAAACTCGTGCCCAAAATTAAATGGGAAACCATTCTTGTCGATTTACATTCGTCCAAATATTTTAATGAATATAACCCATTAAAATACAGTAGCGTAACTATTATCTCGAGAGTCATTCAACAGAAATCGAACCCGGATCCTTCTGGTTAAAGTTATGATGAACTTATGCGATATACAGTCGACCCCCTATAACACTGTTGATAATTCCGTTTTATATGAATTCCATGTTGTACGAGTCACTTAGATTTTACAAATACCTGTGCCGGGCTGTGAACGGCTCACGTATTTGTAAAATCTAAGTGACTCGTACAACATGGAATTCATATAAAACGGAATTATCAACAGTGTTATAGGGGGTCGACTGTACTGTGTAAAGCTTATTTTAAATTATTGATATTTTTATTCTCGATAAAAATAAATGACGTTTATGATCGATAAATATATTTCGTGAGGATCAAGCCGCACAACAGTCAGCACGTGTCACCATCGTTACTCGATATATACACGTAGGATACTCTCTCACCAATTAAATTTGAAGATGCTGATGTAAATTTTTAACCGTGTAAGATTGGTGGAGAATTAACTTTGTCTTAACAAAATACGTTCTTCATGGTAACGAGGAACAGCCTCATTATTACGAAAAATTTGGTTAAGACACAATTGAATTAATCACCAAAGAACATTTTCAACATTAACATCGTAGAAACTCGTTCTGACCCTTCAATGGATTGCGATCTACCAGTTGGGAAGCTCTGACCCACACTTTTTATCCTCGTCTGTGCCTTCGTTTTTCTCCAAATTGTTTGCTACGCTATCTATTACCACAAACGTTGTGGCCTAAAAATCAGTTAACCGAGTTAAACCGACTTCTTTTGTAATTTGATTAACTAATTTCCGAACGCTGCTGTTTCGGCAATCTCAACTTTTAAAGTTGCTTGTTATTTTTAAGAATATCTATACATTTATCACTATATCTTTAAATATTTTTACATTGTATCAAAGTCGTGCTTCGTGACCTTCATTCTGAAGAGGAATCTATACAAATAGTGTCATTTTCTAACTGCTACGCTGAAGGTAAATTGTCAACCTTCGGAAGCTCAAATAAATAGGTTTTTCATGATAAACATAGAGTAAAAGCTGTATGAAATTAGCTTGTCAGATACAGTATATAGCTTAAAGGACGAACTATTAACCCTCTTAACACGCTCAACACCCGATTATCGCGTACTGTACCGACACTTTAATGAGAGATTCGTTACAGATGTATCTGTAACGAATCTAATTTATCTATTCTAGTAATTAGAATTTCTTACATTTGAATATGTATACAAAATTCTTGACCTTTTCTACGAGTAGGAGTGACTTTCGATGCCACTATATCAATTGTGTAAACAATTGTGTGATGTTTCCATCCGGCAATCATCGATATTATTGTAAATAACACGTTCAAGAATGACGCGTATCGCCCACGATTTATTCAATATAATTTCCTAGAGAAATGCAAATTTCCAGAATTTCAAATCGCAATTCGTTTTATGCACCGCTTCAAGTTTTAATCTGTTAAGATAAGTGGATTTATATAAACAGTTAACACCCAAGTTCAAGATTCACGTATTGAAATCTCGGAAAGGGAACGTTGCGAAATTTTGATGACATTACTATTGGTCGGATCCACTACGAACACGTGATAAATCCTTTTAAAAAGTAAGTCTCATCGCGAGGGTTTGTGCAAAATTTCTGTAATAATTGTAGAATGAGTAGAGCGGAAATTTATTTTTTATTCGTTTGGATGATGGTGGGAGTCGATTGCTTCCCTCGTAAGTACTTTTTCCAGAATGTAGTATTAATATTCACGAATTAGAGCTTTAAATTATCCAGGAACACGCTTTTCATCCTTCCTCTCCTCGAGGTAAAGGGAGAGAAAGTTCAAGGCAAACTAGATTAATTAAATATATACAGATCACCGAGTTCACAAAATCATTATATTTTCTAATGTAAATATTAATTTTCTCCACTGATTTAGTTGCTTTTTAAAATAATTCTACCAGTAAACTCTAAATTTGTAACCCGTATTCGCTTCTTGCCGCTGCATAATCCTTCATTTGCGTACTGGTTTTAGTCTCTAGCATCGTCGAGGATGAACTATTTAATGTATAAATGCTAGAAATTCGAATGTCTTTCAGTTATCCGTAATCGTGGCAATTATTTTTACTCGGTTCACTCGATATTTTTATTTATTTTATTGCGTTTAAAATAAAAATCCGCCATTTTTTCCTCGAATATTAATCTCCGCTCCATTGTTTTCCGGCATCCTTGGCTTAGATCCAAGGTTGCTACCCCCTTTTTTCCTTTCCTCCTCGAGGGAACTTTTATTAATTTTACGATCAAGACTTTGGCAATAAAATTAAAGAAAATAATTTTATAAAATATCAAAGAATCTGAAACAGTAATAAAAAATTATCGTTAAAATAACAATTTGAAGAACACCTTTTCGTAATTTAAATTCACAATTCTGTGAGGGAATCGGGATGCAATCCGGTCCAGCAATCCCTAGAAATTTTACGTGGGTGGTCCTCCTCGGATTCGCTGGGACCCTCGTTGTGGACTTAGCTGAGCCCACGACTGGTATGGTTAAAATGGTTCTCTTAGTGTCCACAAGAGGGAAAAAGGCAAAAATGTAAAAATAAAACTAATGGTTAGTACAATGATTATAGTGCATAGCAGTGGAGGATTTAGCACACGAGAGGCCCCAGGCGCAATTCAATTTTGAGGCTCCCTTTAAATATTTTTACTACCCATACACTACACTGTGCATTCTACGCTCACGTTTTTTACTCTGGTAGGCACTATACCTTAATCCGAAAAAAAGGTGAGACACTGGGAAATAACAATGTAAATTAATTAATCAATATAAAATTACAACTGCCTGGCTGTATTTAAAAGGTTACCGATGTTCGGATTGTATTAATTACGAAAATTGAAACTTATTGGTACAAAAATTAAGTTTCAATAGGCAAGAGTGTTAAAAACAAAAAAATATAGTAATCCATGGATATAAAAAAACAATTTATTTTTAAATTTACTACTGATTTTTATTTTGAGAGCTGAATTTTGAGGCCCCTTGATAGACAAAGAACGTATAGGCCCTTAAAAGTGGCGTTTTACACGCTTAAAATAAGCTCTTAAATTGCGTCGTTTAGGCTTTATAAAAAAAAAAAAAAAAAAAAGTATCCCGAACGGAAGTCACGTGTCTC